CCCCCAAAGTCATCGTTAGCCCCTCCTCCAATTGATTAGTGTCCCACAAACCATTAAAAACTCTGCAATGTATAAATAGTCAGAGCTTAAGCCCCCCACAACAAAGTGAACTGACCTGAGTAAAAGTCACTTTTATTTTCAACCGAGTGGCTTGGTCCCGACCCCTCCTTCTATCCTAAATAATTTCCGTTCAGCGTTAAGTGAGTTTGTCAATTGACAAAAAAGCACGTCTGCTGCACCGTTGGTGGCGAGAAAGCGTCTTTCAAAAACATATAGGTACTTACGTGTGCGATCGCCTGCAGCGGTGTGTATATTCACCGTTGGGGGTCGGCGTCATTTTTTTTCCAGTAAGGCGATGACAATTAAATTACATGGGTTTCCATATTACTCTATACATATAATGCAATCGTCACCATTATTTTTTCCGTGTTCGTGGTCCTATCCCTTTTCGTTTTTAATGTATACTATAAATATATATAAGTATCGAAATCCCTCTAAAAATATAATGGTCTTAATCACGAGAATTTTTGGAAAAGAGTGGGGAAGGGTTGTTATTTGTTCTTCACACTCGTTCACCCTCTTCACACATCATATTTCCACCACTGGGTGAAGTATATACCTACGTTTTAAATTATGTATTATGTTATGAAGTCGTTATTCTATATCAATACAATATTAATATAGTACCTACCTACGTCTACAATTACTTAAGAATTTAATTTTTTCATATGAAAACACATTGCAGTATATATRGACGTAAATCATTGTTTATCTAAATAAAATGGGTTGTTATACCCTATTAATTTAAAAAATATTATGGCTATGAAATAACTTTTCGTTTACCTGCACATATTTAGGTAAAATATAGTAAAAAAATTTAATTTATGTATAATACATATTTTTAAGGTATTTGTAAGGTAAGGGTTTTTTTAATTATCCAATGGAGTAATGTTTTTTATTTCTTAGCATACTATATAATATGAAATTATGATATATAATATATATAAATGTAAAATCTTAAGTCATTATTYCATACATTTTTGTTTATTATTTTAATTTTTATAAACTATTATGGATTAAACTGTCAAAAGTTCACGTAATGTTAAAAATTCAACATAACTAAGTTCGGTATAAATTTATAAATAATAATATGGCAGCTACCTATAAATAATTATGTTGATTTTCTATTTTAACAAAATTAATTTTGCAACTGATGAGATGGATATCCTGTAGGTAGGTAGCTCATCTTTATTTTCTGCTCAACTTGRGAAACAAATAATAGAGGTACTCGGCACTCGGTACTCGAATAGTCGGATCATAAAAAATAATTGTATACATTGGCACGTCATTACTACATTTGCAACCAATGGCTCTTAGCAGGAAAATTTTTTTGAAGAATCCATGACGTCATTGGCATAGCCGATGAAACTATGATAAAGTGATCTATATGATAACAGYTCATTATGTTCAAAATTATTTTGATCGATGTCTGGATTAATTGTTCTATTACAGAGTATATACATAATGTAAATATTGAGTCGAAACTACTACATTTTGATAATATAGAAAGTAAACTTAATCTATTATTACGTTGTTAGTGCTGTATGTATGTGCTCTGGGTCAGCGAATACCATTATTGCTGTTAAATATCGTTCCTGTAAATTTTAGTTTCTGAGCGGAGTGATTTTTACTTTTAATTCAAATATCTATAACTAGATTTGATGAACAAATGMAAATTGTTATTTTTGGTTAGTCACATATTACACATTTTTATAAGCATTTAAAGTTCAAATTTTGACAAAATTT